TCTTCCGCCACTTCTTCCTCTTTTCTCCTTCTTAGATGACCATATGGCATACATCGGATTGTTGAACAGTATCCCACAGATGCTATAGGCTCTGTACACTTTTCTCCATTCTTTTTTTCTTTCTGCTCCCAGACTTGGTAACTTTAGTTGTCTGGTTTCATTTGCTGATTCTGTACTCTGCCTGCTCATGTCTGCTGTTGATCTCTTCTAGTGGAATTTCAAATTCCAGTAGTTATACTTCAGCTCTAATATTTATGTTTGGTTCCTTTTATACTCTCCCTCTCTATTGATATTCTCATGTTGTTCATCTATCATCTTTTTGGTTTCCTATTTGTCCATGGTTTCCTTTCGCTTTTTGAGCATATTTAAGACAGCTGATTTAAAGTCTTTATTTAGTAAGTCCACAGTCCTTCAGGGATGGTTTCATTTAATTATTATATTTTCTTTGTATGAGCCATGCTTTCCTAATTGTTTGTATGTTTTTGATTTCTTGTTGAAAATGGGACATTTAAATATTATAAGTAGTAACTCTGGAAATCAGATACCCATTTTCCCCGATATTTGCTGGCTTTGTTTGTTGAAGGCTTAGCTTGTGTTCAGCCATTGTCTTGACTGAGATTTCTTGAATCTCAGGAACTTAATTTGCCTAAGCCTTTACTTTGCTTACATTGAGATTAGTAATAAAACTAAGGGTCTTCTCAGATCTATTCTGAACATGTATCCTGCTCTGGGCACGTACACAACTTGCTAAATTTCCCAGGACACAGCACTTTCGAATGCTCTTATATCCCAGAAACTCTCTCGTATGCTTTCCTATCCTGCTTTAGGTAGTTTGTATATGTCTCAATCATAATCCAAAGATTTCCTACTTTTAAAAATTTGCCTTTTTCTTTATTTGCCCCAGGCAACTGTGGATTTTTTTTACTGCCTTACAGTGTTTTGTTTTCTTTGTTTGTTTTTTAAAATCATTTTCTTTATTGATTTTGGAGAGAGAGGAAGGGAGAGGAAGAGAGAGATAGAAACATCAATGAGAGAGAACATTGATTGGCCGCCTCCTGCACGTCCCCCACTGGGGATGGGCCCACAACCTGGGCATGTGCCCTGACCGGGAATCGAACTGGTGACCTCTTGGTGCAGGGTCAACACTCAACCACGGAGCCACACCGGCCAGGCACCTTACAGTGTTTTTGAGCCATGCATGCCACTAGTCTGCCCTGAGAGAGTTCCAAATTTGCTCAGGCAGAGAACTGTGAACCTTGTATCAGTCCTTCAGGTGGACTCCAGACAGATTAGCACAGACATAGGAAATAATTTGTGAATAAGAGCTCTGCTCCCTCCAGAACCATCGACCAGGGTACCACACTGGGAATGTAGGCTGCCGCCTTCAAGACAGCTGTAAAGGCGGGGAGGGGTTGGGCCAAGAGCCAGCACAGTGCTTTCCTACTTTTAAAAATTTTCCTTTCAGCCCTGACCAGTTTGGCTCAGCGGTTAGAGCATTGGCCTGCTGACCAGGGAGACCCGGGTTCGGTTCCCGCTAAGGGCATGTACCTCGGTTGCAGTTTGTTCCTGGCCCTGGTTGGGTCATGCAGGTGGCAACCACTTGATGTGTCCCTTTCACGTCGATGTTTCTCTCTCTCTCTCTCTCTCCCTCCCACTCTATCTGAACAAAATATCAAAAAATGACCTCGGGTGAGGATAAAAAAAAAAATTGCCTTTTGCTTCTATGTGATTGCTATATACCTTTAGTTGTTTTCTGAAGCTCTGGTCAAGTTAGTTCTGACAGTTTCCGGTCATTTATTCAGTGTTTCTGTGGAAAGATGGAAGTTTGAAGCTGCCTACTCTTCCATGTTGCTGATATCACTCTGATGAGTTTCTCTGTGCATATTCTGTCAGTTATTGAAAGAGGAATTTTTAAATTTACCATTATGATCATGGGTTTGTGTGTTTCTTATTGTCAATCTTTCGTTCTTTGGATTTTTGCTTTATGCATTTTGAAGCTATGTTATTAGCTATAGTCAAATTTGGATTGACCGTGTCTGACTTGTGAGTTGCACTTTTAACATTACTAAGTTTTTCTGGGATGATTTTTGCCTTTAAATCTACTTTGAAATTGCTATAACTATACTAGATTGTATTGGATTATTATTTACATGGTGATGATTCTCTTTCCTTTATAGCCAACCAACTGAGCCATACTAGCCAGGGTCACATGTGAGGTACTTTACTCTATCATTGATCTCTTACAATTTTCTCATCTTTTGTCTCTTGTACTTTATTCTGAATGTTTTCTTCAGATTTTATATCACAGATTTTTTTCTTTGGGTCCAAACTGCTATTGAATCTATCCATTGAGTTTTAATTTCAATTATTGTATTTTTCAATGGAAGATTTTATATTTTGTTTCCTCCCACCTACACACACACACATCTGCTGTATCCTTTTTTTTTCCCCATTTTTTGTACAGATAGAGTGGGAGGGAGAGGGAGGAAGGGAGAGAGAGAGAGAAACATCGACGTGAAGGGACACATCGAGTGGCTGCCACCCGCACGACCAACCACGACCAACCAGGGCCGGGGACAAACTGCAACCGAAGTATGTGCCCTTAGCGGGAACCGAACCCGGGTCTCTCCGGACCGCAGGCCGACGCTCTAACCGCTGAGCCAAACTGGCCAGGGCTGCTGTATCCTTTCTTATAGTCTCTTGCTCTCAGCCTAGATTCTCAATCTTCTCTCTTCTTCATATAGTATTTTATAGTGTACATTTTCTGTTTCACCTAGCATTGCTTTGTCTTTTCTTGTGACTTTTGAAAACAAGTGTGTGTGAGACATTGCATTTGAAAATTTATCTGTAAAAATAATTTGAAGCCTAGAAGTAGTTTTCTTATTATTGAAAACTTATTATTGGGATCTTATTATTGGGATCTTATTTTCATTTGCCTTTCAGCACCTTAGTTATAGTTATAGCAATTTCAGCAATTACATATTCTTCTTGGCCATCTTGTGTGAAGTTGCTGGTCAGGGATCTTGACCATTTAAAAGTTCAAATACCTCTTTATTATTGATTTTTTAGAGTTCTTTATATATCCTTCATCATACACACTTGGCCCTTGAATAATGCCAAGGTTAGGGGTGCTAACCCCTGTGCAGTTGAAAATTTACATATAACTATAGACAGCTCTCTGCACATGTGAATTCCCAATTGCTGATCAAAACAACAGTTGACCCTTGAACAACACAGGTTTGAACTGTTTGGGTCCACTTATACGTGGATTTTTTTTCTATTCGTCTGTGGCTTGTCTTTTTATCTTCTTGATGGCAGAAGTGAAATAAATGGCAGACGTTTTCATTTGGTTGAAGTCCACTTTATCAAATGTTACATGTTTAGTAATATTTTTGTTCTATTTCGGGGATCTTTGCCTCTTCCAAGACCAAGAGATACTCTCCTGTGTTCTAGCTGCTGTGGCCATGCCTGTCCGCCCGGCCCCGCCCCCAAGTTAACTCTGGTGTAGCATTTGATGTAGGGGTCAAGTTTTCCCCATGTGCATCTCTCTGTTAACAGCGTGTTCCTTTCCACAGACATCCATCAAGCGTAGGTCCATTTTCTGAAGTCACTGCTCTGTTTCTTGATAATTCTTTATCCTTATGATAATTCTGTGCCTCCTAATCCCTGCGGCTTTATGTCTGTGTAAGACCTCCAACAGTGATCTTCTTCAACAATGTCTTGATGTTTCTAGGTTCTTAACATTTTCATATACATTTTAGAAGCAGCCTGTCAATTTCCACAGACTAGCCTGCTGGCATTTTAATTGGGATTGTATTGGGTTTTTTGATTAACTGGATGAGGTTTGACAGATTAACAGTATTGAGTGTTCCTATGAACTTGACATTCTGTTCATTAATGTCCTTTTTATTTTCTCTCAGCATAGTTTTGTGGTGTTCAGGGTCAAGTTGTTACACATGTTTGATTAAATGTTTCTCTAGGGAAAGGATGTTTTGGAATACAGTTACAAATTGTACTGTTTTAAATTTTTATTCTCCAGTAGTATGTTGGTATACAGAAATACGATTGTGTTCTGTATCTTGCATCCTACAGTCATGCTAAATTTGCTTGTTCGTTCTAGGAATTGATTTGTTCGCTTTTTTTTATTTTCTCCACGTATAACCTTGTCATCTGTAAATAAAGATGGTTTTCCTATTTTTTTCCAGTCTGTGCCTCTATTCCTTGCCTTGGCTTGGCCTCCCCATGCATGTTGATTAGGAGCAGGGCTTTGGGGCAAGTGCATTTGACCTTTCATGTCGGCAGTGGGTAGACCGCAGGCCCTGCAGAGCTCCTCCTGGAAGGATCGTGGAATTTCTGGCACCCTCCCTGTGCCTGGGGAGAGCACCATGTGGGGTCCTCCCTCAAGGCACAGCTGGGTGAGGTGCAGGGATTTCCTCTGGGACAGCCGCATTGCATTCCTGGGGCAAACCCCACTAGTAGGTGGTGATCTATCTGTTTTAGTTGCTGGGTTAGATCTGCCAACATTTTATCTGGGGGCTTGAAGTGTGTTGGTCTCCTTTTGGCTGTGGCCTCCTGGGGTGTCTGCATCATGGGCCGAGTTGCTGAGCCCAGCACGCCCATGATTCTGGGGTGTGGAGAGCAGGCTCCAGGCATGTGCCCCTCACAACTCCCAGCTGCTGTGGTCCTCCCATAATGGCACCGACCAGTCAAGCATGGGCCTGTGGGTTGGGGTGTGTGTCTCTCCTGATGTCCTCAGGGGCCCGCCTTCCCGGGCCTGCTCTGGCTGTGGACAGCGGGGGCTGCAGCTCAGGGGGCCAGAGCAAGGAGAGGCGGGCCTCTGCTTCCCGGCCCGACACTGCTACTGTGTCAGCTGTTAGAAGGCGGCGGGGCCGGTCCTGGGGCACTCTCTCCTGAGGATGGAGACACTGCGGGGACCCTCGGGGCCTCTGGGGGGGCCAGTTGATTGCAGCCACATGTGCCCTCCCCTTCTTGTCTTATAGATGAACACACCTGGAGCAGCAGTAGGCACGCCATGTCTGGCCCTGGCGTCTGGCCCTTTGCCCACCACGGTCATTCCCGGAACGGCCCTGGCCCTGCCCGTGCCCATGCCAGGTACTGCTCTCTCCGGCTTCTCAGTCCCACCCTGTGCACTGCCTCTGGGCCAGTACAGGAGCCTGCTCCCAGTTCCTGTGTCCTGGGGTTCCTGGGCAGCCCAGGCTGGCAGCCGAAGCCCTGCCTGGGGACCAGGCTTAGGCACAGCGGGCGGGCCCCTGCTCCCCCAGTTCTTACGGCCTCCTGTGGTCAGCATGCCCGGCCCCAGGCTGTGGATCACGTAGCTCTGTCTAACTAACCACTTGCCAAATGGACTGTGCTGAAGTGAATAGCCCTCAGAAGCCGGGCTCGGCGTGGCCCCGCCTCCTGAGGGTACCCAGCGAAAGGGACGGGTGAGGCTGCCCCTGGGGCCTTGACTGCCGCGGACTCCGTTTGCTCGCAGGCGCCGATGGTCAGCATGCAGCCTGCGCGCCACTTGCGTCCCGAGTCAGTGCTTAGGTCACGGGACCGGCTGCAGCATGGCAGGGCCCGGCTCCAGCTCTCCTGCCCCCGACGAAAAGAGATGCTTAAAAACATGTATGGGAAAAGGTGTATTTTATTTACAGTTGGCTTGTGTGTTGATGTTATTCTCATTTTAAGTTGAAGAGAGATATAAATGGTTCACAAACCTGAAGCTGCAGTCTGACCTTTAGTTTCTGGTGTGTGTGTGTGTGTGTAAGTTGAACTAGTGACCCTGAATATTTAAGAGTTGCAAATGTAGGGGAGCCCTCTTCTGTTCATGAAAGAATGGCCACACACCCTCCACTGAGCCCCGCGGGCGCTGCCAGCCGGCCGGCCCACGCGTGGGCCCTGGGGCAGCAGGGCTGCTGGGAGGTGGGAAGGTCGGAGCGCGTGTCTGTGTCCGGGGCGCACAGGCTGGCCGCGCCTGCAGGGACAGCCGCTCTCTGGTGCTGGGTGCTGCCCACCCCCGGCCCTCCTTCCGTTCCCATCATCTGCACTGAGGTCCTTCCACCTCTGGCCCCCAGACTGCTCCCGGGTTCCATGACTGGCCAGCCAGGGGCAGAGGTGTTCCCCCCGGGGACAACAGTGGGACGCATCCCAGACGGGTGCGGACGGCCCGGTGGAAACGCAAGGCCCGCTCCTCGTGGCCAGGTGTCGCCCACTCCCGTGGGTAGGCAGCTGGTTGGGCTGCTCAGCTGTGGAATTCTGCTGTACTGTGGGACCCTAGAGCTGGCTAACTTATTTTGGTTTAAATGTATTATTCCATCAGTTCCATTAGAGTTGAATTTTCTGGGTGATCATGCAGAATCTCCTGCCCCTTGGTCCTTCGTTGAGTTTTTCGTGTCTGGTTCCGGAGGATGGTGGAAGCCACCCTCCCCCCGACCCCACCCCACCCCCACCACACCAGCGTGAGGTTTCGAGTCCTGGCCTTGTTCACGAATGAGTGGTCAGTGGCACAGAGCCCCCACGAGATTGTATATATGAAGGAGAAAAATAAACATTTTTGCTTGAAAATAGTGTGAAACAACATCTTTTTCTTCCTCTCTGTCCCCATAAAAGCCGAGTCAGCCAGCTCCATAGGGACAGCCGGAAAGGCAGCTGAGTGGGCGGGCCGGCAGGGGCGCCGTCTTTCCGGTGGGAGCCGGGGTGCTGGACCTCACTGTGCGCTCGGAGATGAGAGTGGGTGTCAGGTGGGACCCAGCTGTCTGTCCGCACCCACCTGTGTGCCCTGGGTCCCCAGGACAGCCAGCCTCTGAGGGCTCCGGGCCTGCACTGGCCTGTGCCTTCTGCTGTCAACCTTGAGCTGCCTAGAAATGGGGGGTGGGCTCTGCCCCTTGGACAGAGTGAGCCTCGTGGTTGACTAAGTGTCCCCAAGCCCTGTCTTCGTGGGCTGTTTCCGAGAGCTGGGTTCGCCTGCTCTGTGGAGGTCAGGAGGAGGTGCCAGGCTCTAGGCCTTTTGAGCAGGGGATTTGGGGCTGGGGCCACCCGAGGGTCATGGAAGGGACTGCGCTGTACCATAGGCACAGGGCCATGGTGCAGGTGTGGGTTTGGGGCGGGTCTTCCTCCCGACCCCCCCTTGGGGCTCAGCACCTATTCCTGGCTGTGGCCCTTGGTGACCTCGTGCTCAGTGGCTGCACTCACTCAGTGCCTCCTGTTCCACCCAACTGGGCAGCTGCCCAGGTCTGCAGGTCTCCCACCCGCTGACCTGCAGTAGGCTTGTGCCTCTGCTCACGGACAGTTGGGCCCCCCGCTGCGTTTGCTGCCTCCTCACAGCACTGTCCTTTGCAGAGGCTGGGGCATCTGTGGTGGGTGTGCCCAAGGAGCCAAAGGCAGCTTCTCCCTGTCAGCTTGGGCGCGGGCGCTGGGAGGCCCGGGGTGGTTTGGGCAGCTGCACTGTGCAGCCGGTGGTCAGCGGGCAGGGCTGCCAGGGTCCATGGCACAGGGCAGGCTGCAGTCTGGCCTCCCAGCCTCAGGAACGCGGCCGCTTAGGCATCGCTGCCCTGCCCTCCAGGGCCAGTGTGACCACAAGGGCCTGTAATGAGCTGTGGTGGTTTTGTCTTCTAGATTCTGAGAGTGAGAAGCCCATCTGAGCCCAGGCAGGCTGACCTGACCCCAGCGCCAGGCCCTGAGTCGTCTGTGCAGAGAAGGCGAGTCTGCCCCTCGCGTCAGCTCACACTGTTTTGTAACTACTTTCTAAGCGTTTTTTTTAATTCACAATTGGAAACACAAATGTAATGCAAGAATAAAAAATATTTTGGGGGACAAAGGACTTCAGTTTTTCAAACTCTCCTTTTGAGGGGCTCCCAGACTGACAGATGGCCCAAGACGGGGGTGAAGGGTGCTGGAGGAGCTCTAGGGGCCACACAGCAGGACGGCCTGGGGCACCCCTAGCTGAGGGTTTCTGGGTGTGGTAAAGAGCTTCTGCAGTTCCCAGGGTGCTCCAGCGCCCCAGTCAGTTCAGGGTCCTCACATTCCACCGCAGCCAGAGAGGTCAGACGGGCGACACAGTTGTACCTCTTAGAAAAACAGCCTAGGCCCGGCCGGTGTGGCTCAGTGGTTGAGCGTCCACCCTGCACCAACAGGTCACTGTTCGGTTCCCGGTCAGGGCACATGCCCAGGTTGTGGGCCAAATCCCCAGTGGGGGGCGTGCAGGAGGCGGCCAGTCGATGTTCTCTCTCATCAATGTTTCTCTCTCTCTCTCTCTCTCTCCCTCCCTCTCTCTCTAAAATCAATAAAGGAAAAAAAAATTTAACAAAAAAGAAAAGAAAAACAGCGTAGGCCCAGGATGCCAGGTGGCCTGGCCCATTCTCCAGATGTTTCCCCCTTCGGGCCCAGGCCAGTGCCCATTCTTTGCAGACCCTGGAGGCTGAGCAGCGGTGCCCAGGTCAGGTGACGGCCGCTGGCCTGCACAAGCTGGGCCTTCGTACACATGGCTCCATTTATTCCGCCGAACCCCGGCTCCTGCTCTGGGACACTTGAAGGTGCCCCCCACACACACACTGGCCGGGGTGTCCCGTGATGCAGAGTGGCTCTTCCTCCAGAATCCATCTGTGCTGTCAAGGGGTTCTGAGACCCCTGGCTCCAGAGTGTGACGGGAGGCCGGCTGGCCCTTGTGGGCTGTCCCCATGGTGGGGTCCTGGAGCACACTGTAAATGGGCCACCTGGGAGGGGCCCCACGGGGAGACACGGCGGGTGGAATCTCAGCCGGGCCCACGGGCCTACTCATCCTGAGGCCAGGCCTGGGGTGTGACTCGGGCCCCCATGTTTTCATTGATTTCTGGCCACACCTGATTGCGTGCTTGATGTGTGTGGGGGGTGGACCACAGCACCTGGGTGTGTCGTCGCCGGTGCCCACAAACGCTGCCTGTGACACTGCCCTTGTCACAGGGCCCCAGGCATCATCCACACTCATCCCGACATACCGCCCTGTGGCTCGCCCCATCCAGCTGGCCGATGAAAGGCGAGTGGTGGGTTTCCTGCCTCCCACTCTCCCCAGGGCCTTCCAGGCGCAGTGTGGGGGCGGCCCGCCCCATCTCTCACCAGGGGCCGTGCCCTGGCGTGCCCGGGCCCGGGCCCTCGGACCTGCTGTTCTGACAAAGCAGAGGACAAGACACAGCGCTGCCTTATTCACTGTTCACGTGGCACCCGTCTGTGAGCCCTGTTCCTGGGCCTCTCACGGTTGACCCTTTTGGACAGCGGATGTATTTAAGTCATTCCTTTTAAGCAAGTAATATTATAGGAGCTAATGGTAAACACTGCGTGGGCAGAGGGACCCCTTTTCATACCCCAGCCGAGAGCGCTCCCCCCAGGCAGGCCCTCCAGCAGAAGCCAATCTGTGCTGTCGTCCTGCAGCGCCCGAGTGGCAGAGCCTGCCCACTTCACTCTGGGGCGTCAGCTCGGCCCCCCTGCACACGGACCCGGCCCTCTGGAAGCTCTCCACTGCAGTATCAATTAGCACAGGTGGAGGGACAGGCCAGTGATGGGGGTGGTCAAGCCACCACCCCGGGGGGACAGTGGGCCCTGTATACCCAACCTCCAAAGCCCTCAGGGTAAGCCCCAGTTCCTGATGGTGTTATTCGTTAATCCTCACCCAAGGATATTTGTCCATTGATTTTTTAGAGAATGGAAGGGAGGAGGGAGACAAGAGAGAGAAAGGAGGGGGGTCAAGACATATTTGTGGCAGAAAATGGAAAGGAAACGCCCAGAGCTCTTTCTGGGCTCAGGTGAACTCATCTCCCCAACCCTGAAGCATCAGAGCCATGCGGGGGGGGGGGGGGGGGGCGGACACACAGAGCCAGCCACACACGGTTGGCCACTCATGCACAGAGTTCTTGGTTTAGACTCAAGTGCACAGGACTGCAGAAAAGAGAACGGGGACAGAGAACGAGGAGAGAAATGAAAATCAAATTGCAAGATGACAGACTGAACGCTATGTCAATAACCACGTTTGTCAAGGTATGTAAATGGTTTGGTCACAGATTAAAAGAACATTGCAGATAGGATTAAACAAAAAAGACCCAATTGTATGTTGCATACAGTAAACATACTTTAAATACAAAGACACAGGTGAAAGGGTGGACCAAGAGATACCATCCTGCCCAGCCGCTGTGGCTCAGTGCTTGAGCGTCGACCCTGCACCAAGAGGCTGCCAGTTCGATTCCCGGTCAGGGCACATGCCCAGGTTGTGGGCCCATCCCCAGTGGGGGGCGTGCAGGAGGGGGCCCATCAATGTTCTCTCTCATCGATGTTTCTATCTCTCTCTCCCTCTCCCTTCCTCTCTCTCTAAAATCAATAAAGAAAGAAAGAAACTGGCAAAAGGGGAAATTAAATCCAAAGTAAGCATAAGAAATTGAATAATATAAATTAATAAAATAGAAAACAATAGAGAACATAAATGTAATCAAAAGCTGACACTTGCGAAACTCAATAAATGGAAAAACCACTAGCTAGGTTAATCAGGAAAAAGACACAAATTCCCAATATCACAAATGAGAGCAGGGACATCAGCATGGGTTCCACAGATAGTAAAAGGGTTATTAAAAGACTTACAGAAATCTTATGCCAATATTTTGGGCCATTTTGGTGAAATGGACAAACTACTTGGCAGAGAGACATTCCCGAAGGCTGCTGAGGAGGAAATGGATCACCTGAACAGCCCTGTATCCAGGAAGTAAATTTACTTAGTAGTTAAAACTTCTCACAAAGAAAGCTCGGGGCACAGGTGCTTCACTGGTGAATTCCTCTAGATATTCGAGGGAGAAATAGTACCAATTCTACTCACTCTTCCATTCCATGATAAGATATTACAGACATTAAAAAACCCATAAAACCTAGAGCCCAATATCTTTCATGAGCAAAGAAAAAAAATTCTAAGCAAACTATTAGCAAATTGAATGCACTGATGTAAGAAAAGGATCCTTTGTGACTCAGTAAGATGTGTTTTAGGAATTCATGAATGGCTCAGCTTCTGAGATTCAATCAGAGTGAGATGACCAGCTATAATAATTCCAAAACGCGTGAAGTACTCAGAACGAGTCTGGGAAAAGATGCAGAAGACCTATGCATCACTGCGGAAAAAGTGAGGACACAGAGTTCACAGTTGGAGGACTGAAATGTTGTGAGAACGTCGACCTTCTCCAGGGCAATCCCAACCAAACTCCCAGCAAGGTGGTGTGTGTGTTTGTGCATTGACACACTCATGGTAAAATGTATGTGGGGATGCAGAGGACCTAGAACAGACAAAACATCTTTGAAAAAGAGCAAATTTGGAAGACTAACACTACCTATTTTTATTTTGTTTTATTTATTTTTAAAATCCTCACCTGAGGATATTTTCCCATTTATCTTCATATAGAGTGGGAGGGAGGGAGGGAGAGAGAGAGAGACCTCCACGTGAGAGAGACACATCGATTGGTTGCCTCCTGCATGACCTGACCAGGGCCAGGGACAGAACTGCAATCGAGGTACATGCCCTTGACTGGAATCGAACTCACGACTCTTTGGTCCATGAGCTGACACTCTAACCGCTGAGCCAAACTGGCCAGGGCAACACTTCCCGTTTTTAAAATGTATCATGAAGCGACAGTGATCAAGACTGTGTGCTAATGGCAATAAGACAGATTAAAACATCAGTGGAACACTGTTAAAGAAACATATATGGACACCTGTTTTTCAACAAAAGCACAAAGGCAGTTCAGTGAATCATGTTTTTTTGGGTTTTTGGTATGTGACCCTAGCAGGAACCGAACCCGGGACTCTCTGGTCTGCAGGCCGATGCTCCAACCGCTGAGCCAAACTGGCGAGGGCATGAATCATCTTTTCGACAGATGGTGTGTAACAACTGGATATCCATATGTAAAGAAAGAAAACTGACCCATACTTCTCCATCTACAAAAATCAAGTCAAAATGGACCATAGGCCCAAATATAAAACATAAACATGTAAACATTTTAGAAAAAAATTAAGACAAGCCCATTGTGACCTTGAGCTAGGCAAAGATCTAATACACCACCAAAAGTATGATTTATTTAAAGAAAAGTCACGAATTAGGGTTCATCAAAATTAAAAACTTCTCTTTAAAAGACACTGTTAATAAAATAAAAGGACAAGCCACAGACTGATACCTGATAAAGAACTTGTATCCAGACCTTAAAAATTCTAAAACTGCAATATGAATATATGCCAATTCTCAAAAAATGAGCAAAGTATTTAAAGAGATACTTCACCAAAGAAAAGATAGAGATGGCAAAGAAGCACGTGAAAGGTTCTCAATATCATTAGTCGTTACAAACGCACGGATTTAAACAGCCATCAGACACAATGCACACCCCTGGAAGGGCTCATGGAAACAGCGGGCACACCCAGTGCCGGGGGTGCAGGAAGCAGGACTCCCACTGCAGTGGAAACGCAGAAGCTTCCAGTCCTCTGGGAAACCATGTGGCAGTTTCTGAAAGAGCTAAACATGTGTTCACCCTGTGGCCCCGGGTCCCACCCGGGAGTGTCCACCTGAGCAAAGGAAAGCGGAAGTCCACACAGGTTTGCCGGGGAGTGTTCACACCAGCCTTGTAATAGCCAAGAAGGGAAACAGCAGACTGTCCCTGCAAAGGCCAGCAGGGGGACACCTTGCGCTCTGTCCTTACAGCTACTGGGCAGCAGAAGACTCAACCCATGGCAGGTATGTCTGACCACATGC